ACCTTCGAGTAATGTCAGTCTGCCAACGGTATCTTCGAGTAATCCCAGTCTGCAAAAGTCATCTCCGGGTAATGTCAGTCTGCAAAAGTCATTTTTCGACTAATGTCAGTCTGTCAAAGTCATCTTCGGGTAATGACAGTCTGCCAAAGTCATCTTCGGGTAATGCCAGTCTGCCAAAGTCATCTTCGGGTAATGCCAGTCTGCCAAAAGCATATTCGAGTAATACCAGTCTGTCAAAGTCATCTTCGGGTAATGCCAGTCTGCCAAAGACATCTACGTGTAATGCCAGTCTGCCAAAGTCATCTTCGGATAATGTCAAGTTGATAACTGAGTGCCTGGATCTGCCAATCCAATAAAGTTTTTAGCCTAAGACTGCAGTCAGCGACATAGAACGGAACCATGGTATAGGCTCAGCATATGACGTCTGCTTTTTACCAGCAAGGAAGTATATGGGAAGCAACAATAAGTTTCCTGCATCGCTCTACTGAACCTCCCGGGCAAATCTGTTGACGAACTTCCTTGTGTCATGACAGCAGCACGAGCGGATGGACAGCCTTGGGGCGCTGAATTTTTGTATTCTGGTATTGCGAGTTTGTGTCCATCACTCGTTCCGGAGGAGGGGGAGGCTTAACACTGGTCACAAGTGGTCACAACTTGGCTCAACTGGTCACAACTGGCCACAAGTGGTCACAACTGGGCTCAACTGGGCTCAGCTGGTCACAACTGGCCACAAGTGGTCACAAGTGGTCTCAACTGGTCACAACTTGGCTCAACTGGTCACAGCTGGCCACAAGTGGTCACAAGTGGTCTCAACTGGTCTCAACTGGTCGCAACTGGTCACAAGTGGTCACAAGTGGTCTCAAGTGGTCACAACTGGTCACACAAGTGGTCACAACTGGTCTCAACTGGTCGCAACTGGGCTCAACTGGTTACAAGTGGTCATGAATGACAAGATTTCAGATCTTCTGTGAACTAGTCACATTTAGTACATGAATCGGCGACTGGCCACATCAGGCCTACTCTTCAGCGCCGACATCACTATGTTATGTTATGTAAGAAGAAAAACTCAGCCATGGTTGCCTATCAATGGTGGCTTAGCCTTGGTGGCGAAACCATTGTCGCTCAACCATGGTAACCCAGTTATGGTGGCCCAACCATGGTTGCTCGCCGAATTAATAATGCCATGCATCAAAATTTCCATCAGAAATAATATTATGATCGTATTCACTAGCGACGTCAAAAATCCGATACAAGGCACTTAACACGCACTGCATATACGGCGCATCACGCGCACTGCATATACGGCGCATCACGCGCACTGCATATACGGCGCATCACGCGCACTGCATATACGGCGCATAACACGCACTGCATATACGGCGCATCACGCACTGCATATACGGCGCATCACACGCACTGCATATACGGCGCATCACACGCACTGCATATACGGCGCATCACACGCACTGCATATACGGCGCATCACATGCACTGCATATACGGCGCATCACACGCACTGCATATACGGCGCATCACATGCACTGCATATACGGCGCATCGCACGTACTGCATATACGGCGCAACACACGCATTGCATATACGGCGCATCACACGTACTGCATATACGGCGCATCACACGCACTGCATATACGGCGCATCACGCGCACTGCATTACCTGTACTTAACAGTTACAGTACAGTTAACAGTTACTGTAACTATACATTAACAGTTACTGTAATAATCGAAATTTATGGTAATAATGAGGGTAACTCATGCTATTGATCTACAGACGAGCGGTAATGATTAAGACTAATTACGCAGATCACTAAAGTAATAGCTAATTATTGGTATCAGCGTCACGATGGACTGTGGTAACGGGACGCGAAGTTAAAGCGGTGTTAAAAGATATACTTCCTAGTTTTTGCGTATTCGAATTTCAACAGTATTTTAATTAACTTCTCGTGTGTAGGGAAAAAAGTTTATTTTGGGCTGAATGTGCTATAATAAAACTATGCTAAATGGTGCATATATTACACTAGTGCATCAATGTGCGACAGTCTATAATCATTGCTGTGGCCCAATATACGGAAACGCATTGGACATCGAACGAGATGAATTATTTATTATAAGGTTTGTTCATGCAATACAGGAACCAACCTCAAGTTATGTTGAACTCGCGCAAAATAAGGAACTGCAGCAGGTATGACATGACATGTCAAGACATCTTTTACATGTATCTCTACGAAAGCCGTGTTAGCTCTAATGATAGCTGGGACTCTTAAGCATTGCTGTCGTGGCGTCATCACTGTGCTAATCTACCAACGGCTAAGCCACTGCCAAGGCCATACTTTCATTCAACTGCCGATGTACAGGGTAGTTCCATGCAGTTCCAAGGCCAGATGGTCATTCCAAGGCCAAGACCAAACGGCCAATTCTCTGCCATGGACAAACGGCTAATTCTCTGCCCAGGCCAAACGGCCAACTCTCTGCCATGGCCAAACGGCCTATTCTCTGTCATGGCCAAATGGCCAATTCTCTGCCATGGCCAAACGGCCAATTCTCTGCCATGGCCAAACGGCCAATTCTCTGCCATGGCCAAACGGCCAATTCTCTGCCATGGCCAAACGATCTTCCTCTGCCAAGCAAGACAGTCATTCCACTGCCAAGGCCAGATAATCACTTCTCTGTCACGGCCAGACGGTTACTTCACTGTCACGGCCAAACGGTCACTCCACTGCCAAGAAAAGACGGTCTTTCCACTGCCGAACCCAGAGGGTTATTCCTGTAGTAAGGCCTGATAATCTTTCTAGTGCCAAGACTGGACGGTCATTCCCCTGCCAATTAAGTTCAGAGGGGCATTCCACTGTCAAGATAAAAAGCTAATTCCAGCAATAAACACCGATGGTTATTCCAGTGTCAAGTCCGTTGGTCATTCCTCTTAAAAGGCCAGCCAATTCAGTGCCAATGCTAGACTGTCATACCAATCCCAGACGGCCATTCCTGTGACAGGGTCGATGAACTATAAACAGCACGTATGGACACGGATGTGCCTACGCAGTGCGTAGGTATGTGTATACTTCCTTGCCATCTAACAGTCTACTTCTCTTCCGACTTCTGGGAAATTGTTAATTCTAAACCCTCTGTCTGTGACCGTTGTGTATACGTCAATGGCATCACTAGGCCTATTTTTGGGGGCTTCAGCCGCGCTAGATAATTCTATATAATTCTTCGTCCATTTATTAGAACTATTCCTCTTATTTATGCGAATAAAGGTTCAAATAAATAATCATTCAAAGTCATTATTAACTTACAATCAGTCATTATTGGGTTAACCAAGATCAAGAATTTTAAGGGGCAAAGCTCAGTCTAGTGACACATTTGGTATAGGCATGGTTGAACTAATATTAATATAAGTTCAACAATAGGTATAGACTATAGACTATAGAGGTATTCGTAAATACTGCGTGGACGAACTGTCTATTAAACAAGAGGGTCATTTGGCTGTACGGTACAAGATATTAAACAAAATGGGACAAGTTATGATGACAAAAAGGAATACTATTATCGAGAAAAAAATGTTTGTATAATTAGTGTTCCTCTATTGGCTGGACGCAAAAACTTCGCACTTGTTTTATTTTATTAATTATCTGGCTCCAAAATGAAGCACATGGTTGAACTATACAAGTTCAACCATGAGCTAGCAGGCCTAATTTGTTAAGACTGGTAAAATTTCTTATCTCACAAAGTGTAACGTAATTTTCGACTAAATGCGTCTACTGAGATTAATTTAACATGTAATAAATAAAAAGTGGAATATTAATTGGGGATTTTTTAATTTATAACTCGAATTTCCTATACAAGCTTAGGGAAAAGATAAGAAATTTAATAAAACTTTTGTACGAATAGCTTATCAATAAAAGAAAATAATACGGGTTTGTTTTATTCTCTTCCTGGCAACAGGAACAGTGTAATTGCAGAGCGCTATGGCGGCAAATTGTCTTCCTGCTTCTAAACAATTTACAAGTAGAAACTGCTGCAGAGTGCAGAGTCTCACGGAAAAGATTATCCGAAAACTCGTTAGGCGAGTTTTTTTCAAGCTGAACTTGGAATTAAAACTGTACTGTAAGCTAAGGGATGCTGGGTTAACTCAGTTAATAATCAAGGTCACCTCCCCAGGGGCCCAGATACTATCGAAGCATCGAATGCTGCCGAAATGAGAAAAAAAAAATAAATATAGAAGCCAATTTCGTATTCTTTTGACGTCATTCCCGTTTAGTAGAGAAATTTTTCTTACACTTGGGTGAGTTGGCTCCTAGGCTCTGACACAGGTAGACGTGCTGTACTCTCTACATGTATTGACGTGTGCGGGCTGGCAAGCCGGTGACGGTTCATTATCTGCCTCAATTTTGTACGCTGGGCCTTTTGGCTTTGAAGATCATATGCTAAAATCTAAATTACATGTTGAGCTTATTGAAAAGCCATTTTTGCTATGTCGTAGACTCGTAGTCTAGAAATTTGAATGAGTCGTAGTCTTTTATCATTTTTATGTAATTATGTGGTACCTACCTTAGTCGTTCGGAAATTGAAGTTTGAACGAGTCGAAAAAACCCTGCTCTCATTTTGACAATCTATTAAAAATAATTTTTTAATGTCATAGAGCCAATATATCTTTCTCAGTGGTATAACAATTTTGGTCAATTTGATTTACAATTATATTTAATTATTTTGTGCTCTGCACTGGTGTGCTGCGTGCATTGTCTTTTAATTCTACCCATAGTCGAATACCAGCATTCGAGTCAAATAATCGTCAATAACACATGTCAGATGTCACCACCTCAGGCTTGAGGCTTTAAGGAGATATATATTCTACGTTACCTAACTGCTAGCCCGCCTAGACGCCAAATATCACTAGAAAGTCTGCGAATTGCGATGCATTGCATTTCTTTTGAATAGGCTAAATAAAAGCCTGAATCAAAATAAAGTAGACAAAGTAAGTAGGCTACCTATCACTACTCACTAGAGACTAGAGTATCTAACTACCTAGGTATCTAGATTCTAGAGAGATTAAACAATCAGAATGTCGACAAACAAATGCTTGATGTCTGCCATTGAAGGTGCTATAAAGTTGAGAATCTCAAAAGGAATATTTGATATAAATTTCACAAAGGTAATATTCAATATATTAAACCCTGTCACTTGATGTTGTTTGAAAGATGCCAATTTTTGCCTAGTGCATGTTGAAAGGACATTTGTAGATTTGTAGTGAATACCAGTTTCATTTATATAGCTCATTCAGAGTCTCCAGAGCATTATGCCCTGATTACATACCTACCATGTTATTTATCAAAATGTACTGGTATGCATCATGCCAATGCCAAGTGTCATCATTATTTAGATTTTCATGCCAATGCCTACAGTCTACACCCAAATTATTGAGTCAAATATCTCTCCACCCTCAATCCCAGACTTCCCAATCCCAGTCATTTGCTCCATTCACATGACCCATTATCACAGCAATCCACTCTATACTTATTCACTCACAGAACTACATGCGATGAATTGAATCACCTCTCTACGACTCTACCACAACCCATCTTTGATCCCTATGCCTCACATTTCATTTTCTGTTGTTCTTATCCTAATTTCATACGTAAAATACTCCTTCCTTTCATTGCCTCAGGCTCCTGTTTAATCATTCACCCTGTCCCTGTAGGCTGTGACAGTGTGTTAGCCTGTGTACCACACTAACTGCAGCACCCCTGTCTCCTGCACTAAACTGTAGAAGTAGTTCACCACTCTCCATGAGTCCACATATGTTACTAATTTAGATAGAATAGCAGTAGGTTATATATTTCAGTTGAGTTGGACATAGAAGCAATCAAGCAAGTACCATAAACTGGGGTAACTTGGACCACTTTTTTTTTTAAATGATGCCATTTTTTTACTAGATAAGTTAAACTTAAATTGAAACATGCAAAATACAGGTCTATACTCTAGCTTCACTCACCATAAATTGCTGGCTCCTGCCTCTCATAGTTTTGATGTAATTTAAAAAAAAGTGATGGTCTTTTTTACCCCAGCTCTGGGGGTATCTTAGACTGTGTGGTAAAATCAATTATATTTTTTGGTAAAATAACTCCAAGTAACTCCAGGTTTTGGTACATTGTAGTAGAACTCTTCTAGTTACATATGCAAATGAAAAACTTGAGGAAAGTTTCATAGTTTGCAAATGGGGGGTCCTGCCCCCCAGGTGGTCTAAGTTCCCCCAAATGGGGGAACTCTGACCACCTAATGGCAGCCCTGACAGGGTTAACATAGACCGGCTTGGAAATTAAGTTAAAATTACCATATATAAGACTCTGTAGAGTCTGAAACCTAAAGAAAAAACATTAATAGGTGTATCAAACATGAAATGTTATATATGGTAATTTTAAATTAATTTCCAAGCTGGTCTATGTTACCCCATCAGGGCTGACATTAGGTGGTCTAAGTTCCCCCATTGGGAGGCGGCGCCCCCCATTTGCAAACTATGAGACTTTCCTAAAATTTGTTTGTTGCATATGTAACTAGAAGAGTTCTACTACAATGCATCAAAACCTGGAGTTATTTTGCCAAAAAATAAAAAAAAATGGAGGGGGTACTCTGACAGGCTTTAAATAATAGCCTTTTTTCGTGGGTCACATTTTTAATTTTTTAACCTATTAGATATGCAAACTTTTCAAATCTTTCTATTGTGTTATGTAGCCTCAGTATTAGGCCTTTAATGCTAATTGACAGAATTTTTCTATGTCAAATAGTTTTTGAGTTTTGGGGGTTTTTGTTAAAAAAACAAAAAGTGGTCTAAGTTACCCCGGGAGTCTAAGTTACCCCAGTTTACGGTATTATATGTGTTAATATTATATGATATTATCACAGGTATTTCTTTTAATATGTGGCCCAGTATGAATTCTCCTTCTTATAAAATTAGAATATGCTGAATATTACTGAGGTGAGGTTTATATCTGCTTCAACTATTAACATCTCTTTACTCATATTATAAATAATACTATCCTGGAAAGTTATGTCCAAGATAAAAAAAAACAAAAGAGAACAATAAATAAATTAAAAAGGGTCTTTTTTGTCTCTGCTCAAACAAACGTGATATTTTGCATCACCACACATATTTTTTTTAATTGCAAATACTTTTTAAATGCATTTAAACTTTAAAAAGGTCATTCTTCTGCCCTGAAAAAATTTGTTTTTTGCAGGTGTCTTTGGATTGGGTCTTCTGAAGAAAATGTGGCAAAACAGAAGAGTAAAACTTTGAACTAATGATACCTGTGAAAAATCTGAAATGTATGAGGATGGTTAATCACAAAACTGGTATTTAAATTCCTCAAAAACTGAAAGTGCTGAATGCATTAAATCCATCCTAGCAATAAACATTCCTTAATTGATTTGAAGAACTTGCATGTTCTGTTACAGCTCTCACTTTTTTTCACTGGTTCACTGGACACCATTGGTCTCTGTTTTTGCGCATGTATGCATGTGTGGTGGTGCAAAAAAAGCTCGTTCTGCTTCATGATACCTTTATAAAGATTGGAATTGACTCATCACTGTTCTTTTCATAATTTCATTAGTTCTTCTTTTTTGGTTTGCATGTTAGAATGTTGAATTTTGTCTAATACTTTGAGCTCAGTCCTTAAATAAAGATTTTGTATATTGATCTTTGAAGTGATCATTGTGTGAAATATTATCATATTGATCATTGAGTGTGTGAAATATGTAGAAAAAAATTCATTTCGAGATGTCTACCAACTTATTCTAAGTATATCTGTTCCTCATTTTACTTGACAGACCTCATGCCTTAGTACAATATCTCCAGGAAGAATTATGGAAAATACGCTTGTCAACCATGACTTAGGGATCTGATAATTTAGGTGAATTGCTCTATAAAACTTTTCTTGTTCACTTATCTCAATGTACACTTGTTTAAAAGTTGACCCAGTTTGTTTGGGAATTTTTTTTTAGAGCAATACCCAAAGCAAATGGATGATAGCATAGAAATCATTCTAGTCAGGAGAGTAGATATAATATTGTACTAATTTGTGAACTTTCAAGACATTACATCCATTATATTTATTAAGTATGTTACTGTAGTTGGTTATTATTAATGCTTATTAGTGTTATTTTTGTTCACTACCAAAGTGATCTCATTACCAAACTAGAAAATGTTTAGAAAAAAATTTGATTTATGAAAGTAGGATCCTGGAAACGCTTGGGTTAAAATACCATATAAGTTGCCTCAGCTTGTTTGAATTGGTATTAATATTTTGGTTAAATGAATGTTGGCAAATTTATAAATTGAATTGAAGGTTAAATCTATGCCTGTTGTATGTTGTATGCCCTTTTGGAATGCCTGTTGTAGATAGTAGCTAATAATTACCAGTAACATTACTTGAAAATTTTGCATAAATTTTAGTTGAGAACTAAACATAATGAATACCTAGCAAAGAAGGTGTCACCTAAGATATGGCTTTGAATTAAATTAACATACGTCTTCCTTTATCTAAACGCTTCAACTTTGTTTCCATTAGGAAGTATGAAATTCTCCCATATTCACTTTAATTTTAAGTGATAATTCAATGCTTATGTTCCCTACTACATTTACTTATACAACTGTTCTTTTAATCTTTGACTAAAATTTTAGGTTAATCTTCTGGCAGCGCGAGAAGGCTACGTACAAGCCTCACTGAAAGTAGAGTCTGAGCACTGCAATGTTCGAGGCCATCTGCATGGAGGCATGGCTGCCAGTCTGGTGGATATGCTGTCCACGATGGCGCTCATGACGTATGATACATCCAAGCCGGGCGTCTCTGTTGACATTAGCTTGTCGTGAGTTCAAAACCTTAAAAGTTTGAGGTGATGCTTGACTTTTGGAATAGAATTTTGTCATATTTGAATGTTATTCAAGAAAAAATTTAGTAACATGTGGTCTCTTCCAGTATAAAGTAATTTATCTTGTATAAAGAAAGGTTTCAACTAATTGATATAACTAACAATAATATTTATTGACTAATGTTTATGTTTATCTGATTTTTGTTAATTGATTATTTCAAACTACAATTTTATCATAGAATAATGCTTAAAATATTGTTCAATTTCAGTTTCAAATGATAAATATAACATCAACACTTCAGCTTTGAATTATCAGATGAACTCAGAACTGCAACAAGAGCCTTCAGTGAAATGCTGAAGAGAAAATAATGATCTATCATATTAGAACCCTACCTAAGTTGAGGGTGTAAAATATTACGTATTAAGTGCTCAATTGCTTTGTTTTCTTTTCAGGTATCAACACTTCAGCTTTGAATTATCATGTGAATTCAGATCTGCAAAAAAGTCTTTAGTAAAATCCTGAGAAAATATTGATCTATCAAATTAAAACATTGTGGAAGTTCAGGCCGTAAAATGCTACATATTAAGTGCTAATTTTTTTTTCTTCAGGTTTTTAGCAGCTGCCAAGCAAGGATCAGAAGTAATTATTTCAGCCGAGAGTTTGAAGCAAGGCAAGAATCTGGCCTTCCTCACTGCCAACATCACGGACGCCACCACTGGCAAGCTACTCATCACCGGCAAACACACCAAATATATTGCATGATCGTCACAAACCCAAATGATCATTGTTTGTACTACTCATTAATAATTTTCTTACTAGGTAGTTCAGTTATATAAACTCATTTGAAAAGGTAACAAGAAATTTTTCAGGAAAATCATTTTTTAGTCTGCAATCAAACTTGTATAAAGAAGAAACTTCTGCCAAATTAAACCACTATCATTGCTCCAAGGTCTGGTCTTGTCACAATTTGCTAAAATTACTTATTGCATTCATTTGCAGTATCATACATACAGTAACATTAGTACGTATCATAAAGAAACTACTCATGGGTGTTACTAAGTTCTTACACAAATTTTATAAGATTGCCAAGTCATTTTAATAATTTTTTTATTATTTTAATAAGATTGCCAGTCATTTCTCAGGTTCTTCATGAACTTAGTATTTTTCGGCGTTGCAGTTCATAATTCAGTGGTGATATTTGTATAAAAATTCATGACGGTCACACACCTGAACTAAAGTAGCACATTAGCCTTTAGCAGTTTGTGCATGACCTCACAAATAAAGCTATTTATCATTGCAGTAGTGTTACACGTTAATTAATTTCGAATTTTATCGACGTGTGTTTCGTAAGATCGTGCCGTAACAACGACTTTGCATTGAGATGTGGTTCAATAGGATTTTTATTTCCGTAGAATGTATGAGACTCCATTAAGTTTTGTAACACAGACTGATATTGTACTTATAATTATAAACATTGTTTTTTTTCATGTGGAGGAAAATGCAGAAAATAAAAATGCAAACATTTGGGCGAATTCCTTTTAATCACCACTTAGTTCAACAACAACTCTGATATTATGGAAGTACTCCAAGAAGGCGAAGTTGGATTCCTAGTATAAATTGTTCTTCAATAACCTTACAAATATGAATCTTTGGAAGTGAGCTCAATAGATGCAAAAGGAGAAAATTGTTTTCTAGAAGTAAACCCTAATGGAAGACGGCATGGCTTATTGCTCGAATAAAATAACTGTTAAATCGTAGGTAACAATCCTAGAAAATATCCTTTGACCAAAGTTTGCCTTAACATTGGTAACTTCAAATGCGTGCTTTGGTCCTGCACTCCTGCTACTATAAAACGTCCTTTTATTTAGCAGGAATGGCGCTATTTGCCATCAATGGAAAATAGCCTCATTGGCTATTGCCATCAATTCAGTTCAAAATTTATAGTATGAATAATTTCCTACTTGGACACTTGGAGAAAGTGCTTAGATACATTCGATCATGCATCCGCTAATGAACAATTTTCCTGTCAGACACAAATCGAATCTTTAGTATCATTTTAGATCAATAATAAATAAGCAACATTACAATATCAACCTTAGCAACAATAATGAACAACAAAACGTTAAAATATGTCATGTTTTCATTGTTAATAACATTTTCAAAAATTATGACCTCAAAATGTTAGGCGTTTCCCTTATTTTGTCCAACCCCTATATATGAATATATAGTTTAAACTTTATGCAAAACATTCAATATCTATAGCTAAAATATAAACAAACTCGTGCAAAAGTTACAATAAAGCTAGAGCCGTCAGGCAAATTCGGTGCTAGAACAGTCTTAAGGCATATCTGAAAAGTACAAAAACCACTTAATATTATTAACACTACCAAACATTACGGCTAATCATGACTAGGAATTGAGATTATTATTGTTGAGGATTCAAATGGCAAGGTGGCCAGTGACCATCACGACCAGTAATGCAAGCTCAAGGCCTCTCAACTGCTGACCAGAAAAAATAACAGATCAATGACTAGACATGGAATGTTTTGTTTACCTTATCATATATCATTTGTTATCATTTGTTTACCAGTGACCAACACGACTAGTAATGCAAGCTCAAGGCCTCTCAACTGCTGACCAGAAAAAAAAACAGATCAATGACTAGACATGGAATGTTTTGTTCACCTTATCATATAATATCCGCCATGAAGGTTCAAAGTTATTTGTAATAAAATAATTGAACTGTCAGTAGAAATTGCAGAAATAAACTTGAATATGCCTTGTTTCCATCACCAAGGTTGAAGCTTACACAGACATCGCACCTGACTTCCGTCTGGTTTAGCAGGAGATCTAACTTGTTTGTTATTAGTCACAAATTGTTTAATACTTAGCACGCAATGCTGTGACGGGAGACATTTTACCATAACATGTTACTGTGTCCATAACAAGAACGTTACCTATACAAAGCAATAATGTCAGATGTAAACGATTTAATGCTATTGCTAATGAGCATAAAACCTTATTAAAAATGTGAAAGTTATTGTCTACACCGCAAATAAGATTATTTAGTATGCCAACAGCTTTTAATCTTCAAAAAAAATGCAAAGGAATCTTGGTCTCATGAATCTATGGTCCTGATACACTCCTAGTAGAAAAACCTTAAGCATTATAAGAAAAATTTATCACAACGTATCACTTCTCTTGTAAATCAAAGATAATTAGTATCCACTTAAAATTTAACGTCATCACGGTATTATTCAGGATGTGCAATGTATTTCATAACAATGTAGAAGATTAAACTGAACAAGTTATTGCAGTTCCAAACACTTAAAATAATGAAAAAGCAACAAATACTATCATACTATCCACTTAATAACTCAAATTCATTTCAAACTGGATAAATCCAAAACAACACTCTTATAAAAACTCAAACCAAACCCAGGATTGATTTTGTTAAAGTTCCTTTTTCCAAAAAACAAGCCGGAACAACAGGAACACAAAGAATCTAAAATCCTGGACCCTAAAACGACATAAATCAGGAGTAATTACCAATCCAAACATTGCCAAAAATATCAGAAGAACAACACTTCAAAATATGAGCAATGTCTAAATACTACCATAAAATTTTAGGTACCAAAAACACCAATAAAAAAAACTTTGAACACACAAATTAATTATCGAATAAATTTTCAGAAAATTATAAAAAAAAATTTTCAACTGCAAAGCACTTGAGAAAACATCAAACAGGCATGAAATGAAAGACACTCTCTGAAGATAGGAAAGATTACAAGGCAATACAGGTATGGCACACACAACAGTTTAGCAAGACAAGAACTTTGTATCTTTGCTAATTTTAGGCACTTAGTGATCTACCACTCCTACTATTGGCTGGTTATTTTCTATTGAAGTTGTTGGTGTAACAGCTAATGTAAAACTTGCAAAATAATCATTCATGTAAGAAGAGGAAAAACTGCCTTGAAAAAAAATGTTGCATTTTAGAACAAGAAATTTCAAGCTAAAATGAAGATCTTTCTATGATACTGATAGCACTCAAAGAACTAAAATTAATTTGTATATCACTTCAAAAATTTTCAAAAATCAACTTGACAAAGGAAAGATGCTAATCATTGCACAGGTAAATTGCAGACTTCAAATTATATTTCTGCCTGGAGTTAATCATTGTAGACGTTGATGATGGAAGACTGTGGCCAGATGAGGTACTGCAGAGATGAGAAGCCAAACAAGAAGCACTGGAAGAACCACAGGAAAATGACACCTTTTCTGAGGTTGAGTTTGTAGCACAGCACAAGAGACATTATGCTGCTGAACACGTGACTTGCTAGCAGTATGATGGTCCTGCTCAATTAAAGATAAATTAATAACAGCCTCACACTATGACTACATAAGCATAAGAATTAGTTATCTTAAGATCCATAAACTCTATAAATTATTTAAGTTATCTTAATATGGGGCTATGGAAAAAGGTTGATTCACACAACATATAAATATTTTATTAAATAGTTACAAAACTTTTCTATTTTTTTTTAATTGTTAAAAAAAACAGCTCTGAAATTTTGATAAATCAATATAGAACAATTAGCATGCAAAATAATGCATTAAAGCAAAATTGCAGTACTCACGCAATCATCATATACTCATTGTAATTTGTTCCCAAGTAGAAGATTAGATCTGATATTTGGCCAAACATCTTGGTTGACACTCCATTGGGCCATAGCCATCCCATCTGAAAAGTCATAATTATGCATCCATTTTCAGCTACAATGCAAATAGGTACGGTATGTAACCAATAGTATATGAGACATATTATAACACAATAATTGAAATTACATCCTTTCCATTGCAGCCTCAACAACAGATGTTGCTAATTTATAAGCTGAACAATGCAGACACTGAGTATAGCGTGTAATATAAATGAATCATTGAAATATAAATTAAACATTTGAAAATGTTAAGAATTATATATGACATTCACATGCTCAGTTATTAAATGAATGCATCATATATGCAAGCATCATCAGTCCCTAATTAGCTTCAAATTGTGCTGTTAAGTCTGGTTTTACTAAAATACATAAAAATCACACAAGATGCAATTATGAGGCACATAATCATGCAGGCTGAAATGAATCCCTTATAGCCTAAGCCCTAAGTGATAAAGTCTGTTTATTGGAGACAACCAAATACCATACTCACAGTGACAAGGTAGTCTAATGTTAGAGTTAGTGTCATCGCAATAGGATGAACTGCAATGAAGAAACTACGGGGAATTTTGCGAGGCTTATAGTGGCTATTCATTTTTGAATTCTGCAATAAAAAGACAAGAAACTTGAAAACAGTTATTTTATCAGTTCTAATAGGTAAGCAGGGAACAAAATAAAGTATATTTTTCATGGAATATTATTGATTTGAATTTTTTGAAATACTGTTCAATGTCATATGTCAACAGTCAACCCTTTACAGTTTACTCTTTAGCTCTTAACTACAGAAAGTTAGACGAGATTCCAATATTTGGGTGAGACTCTTTTGACAAAAAATGTCAATTGTAAATTTTCAACTTAATAATTGACTACCGTATATTCTTATACCTAAATTTCTTTAATTCAGAGACAATATTCTTGAGAAAGCACTTGTCTTATCTCCAGAGTACCTATTGTATTCTAACTCAAGATTGTTGCAGAAAATTTTAGCCACTTGAGGACCTTGGGTGGGGACTGGGGAGTTGTGGCTTCAAGTTTTTAATACCAATTACCAACGCTAAGCAATTGGACCGTTCTGCCTTCTACATTCAACCGTCGGGTTGGACGCAATTGACGCCTGTCGGAACTATTATCTACTTACTTAAGAAGTTAAGAATTGCTACAGAAAAAACGCAATAGCCTAGTCATTAGTTGAATGATTCGAAATATTATTATTTGATGAAAATGGCTCAAGGCTTAGGCTGTCCGCACTTCTTCACCATCAACTAACCACTCGAGTTGGCCGAGTTGAAGTAACGCCTTCGACACACTGAGCACACCTGTGCGATTTTTCTTTAGCAGTCTTGTTTACATATAGATATTGCAACACGTCATACTGCTTTGTGATCACGTCTAACTTTTCTGAAATGTGCTCGTTGTGATTACAACGTCACACGTCAATTTTCATTGTCATAATTTAATACAGGCCTTGTTATAACTTATATTTATCTTGAAATTAACTTGAAACTTAATAAAGTTTTACAGGGTCTGTATATTTTTCTCAATTAGGTTAAAGGCTGATTCCGCCTCACCTCTCTCAGTTGTCCAATGCGCAACTAGTCGAACATTTCCCCACTAATTGTCTCTCTCTCTCACACAATATATATATATACCTATAAGGAGCCAAGAAAATATACGAATCATATACGAAGAATAGGCCTGATGTCAGTGATGTGGCCTTCCGCCGATTCTTACTTTTCGTGACTTGTTAACAGAAGATCTAAAATAGTGTCATTAGACTGGATCTTTTCAGGACTGACGATAGTTTGAAATAGATACTGGACTTCCACCGGGTTCGATATGGGGCTAGGCATTTCAAGTCTGAACATATATTTTTCCATAGCTTTATCTAGTCTGTTCTTGAACAAGTTCATACTAGGAACGCCAACAACGTAATCGGGGATGCTGTCCCACATTTCGGTGATTTGAAGCGAGAAATAATGTTGTCGCATGGTTAAGTTACAGCGCAGCCGTGGCCCCTGGTGTTGGTTCTTGTTTCGAATTCTAGTAATCCTTCAGGGACCTTGTATAAACCAATAGTACATATACTTCAATGAGGTCCCCACGCAGACGTCGATAACTGAGGCTTCAAAGCTTCATTATCTTTAATCTTTCTTCATAGGACTTGTCCTTCATGCCTGGAATTATCCTTGTTGCACGTCTTTCAACATTTTCTATTAAATTTTTGTCCTATTCAGATATCGGTGACCACACAACGTTTCCAAACTCTAGATTCGGGCGTACGACAGCAACAAACAACTGCTTCATCGCTTCTGCATCTCGAAACTCGTAAGAGCGTCTGATTAGTCAAGGATTTTGTTGGATGTATTAGCTTGCGTTTCAACATGCTTAGAAAATTTCAGCTCCTTGTCGACATAAACTCCGAGATCTTTTCCCACACTAGACTTTTCAATCATTACTCTCTCGTTACAACCATGTCTTCTTATACTGTAAACTTGCTGCTGTGTTTTTCCCGAGATGAAGTAGTCTGTTCTAGTCTTAAGGTCAGTATTATTGGGTTCCTAAACTGTGATGCCGCTCCGACGAATATACCGAGTCATATGTTCGTCGAAGTGGGAACTGTGATTGATAATATTGATACGCCTGTCACTAGTGGGTAGTGGCACACGATGGCCATTCAGCACTTACGAGGTCTCGTGTGATTTTGATAGCAATTTTTTCCTACATAGAAATGTATAGCAGAATATAAGCAAACCTTGCAACGATTGGCTACTGTTGCTGCGCGCCCACTTATAGTAGTAAATACGGTCACCGTTTAATTAAAACTGTTCATCTACTATTACCGCGTACCAGAGGCAAATCTACAATCTTCGGGGTACGCGGTGAGCCTTGGTGGTATGCGAATGCTGTGCGCGACCTGTTATGTGTTACTTGTTCAGCAAAAGATTAGAAACACTGGTTCTGAGCGCAAGACCATTGAAACATGGATACAGTTAATCAGTGAAGAGAAGACTGTCCCGTCCTGTATGACATCTCGCTCTACCGTGTTGATCATAATTACCTAGTCTTGTGCAGCCAGCAGCAGTGAGCAGACAGGCACAGACTGATGAAGGGTCAGTGCGTTCCAACTCGCGTGTTGGGTGGTTGTGCGCCTTGACTCTCTGCTAGCATCTGGGCTTCGGACTACTTCAGAGCCGAAGCTAGTGAAAGAAAGAGTGTCAGTGATTTAATCACAAAACTAATCTTCCCTAATTATATTATGTCATTTTTGTACACTAGACTATAAGTTCTTACGTTATAGTATTATGTAAATACTGAACTATTTCCAATTTTTTATATGGATTGGAACGAACTGAATTTTCACTCAGCTATGTAGTTAGGTTTGTTATGTTATAATACGAAAATGCAATCAATACGATGCGAAATAAATCACAACTGGTTTTAACCGGCTGCGGTGAGTGGTCATCAAAATCCTTACAAAAAAACATCAATATATTAGGCACTTCGCCGCCCATATGCAGCGAAATAGTACATTCCTCCCTGAAGGTTACGCTAGTTTGAGACGCGCAGTGTAGTCCCCGTAGAGTGGGTGACGCGGCAGACTACCTCGTCAAGTCCAAAGTTTTTTTAGACAAGGCCTTACCGTCAACAGACGACTGTTGTTATCGCAAGCCAACGACATAAGAAATTTATAATGTAAACTTATGAACTATTGGTCAAGGAATCACTACGTTACAAAATTACTTCTTAAATTAATGGCATCCACATACAATGAAACTTATTTTTCTTAAACCTCAGCGTTCCAGAATTGGAGTTTTTCGATGTTTTTCAATTGAATTTGAGCAACTAAAATTTTGATTTGTGTGTTATCAAATGTGATATTAAATCGCACAAGTAGAAATAAAAACGAAGTAATCAAGCTAGAGATAAAATTAGCACTAGCTTACCGAACTATCTTCTAGATGTAGTTAATGATTTTCTTTGTCAACATGTGCATTGAAATTGTTTAAAAAATCTGTAAAGAACAGATTAAGTCAAAATTGAGTGAGACTAATGTGTTTTTGTGTCGTCTTCATGTATAACAAATTGAATCTGTTCGGTCGAAATTTATGTATTGTATGAATGTTGAATAGTGCAATTAATGAAGACGCTTTTCGAGTTTTCCTGGAAATTTAGTTTAACTTAATTTATTTTAAATATAAATTATTTCTATCATTTTTCAGTATAGCAATAAAATTCTCAAAAAGCGAAGGTGTATTCTTGAATAAATGATTTAAAATTAATGAGTCATGCAGTTCTTTAAACACTGACAATGAATAAAAAAATTTATTCTAACTGAGGGACTGCACCGAAATAATGTTAATTTGTATTTTTTCAACTTGTGACTGAATAGTGATGAATGTAACCAAACTACACGAGCATAGCGACAATTTTTTTCCTGTCGAATCCTGAACTGAGTTTTTCTCTCCGCCATAACAAAGTGTGCTAGTTAATCGAAACTATTGTGTAGTTATAGTGCTCAGCTTGCAGCTATTGTGCACAGTGTATAATAATAGTGCACAGTGTATATCACACAACGTGTAGTTCCAGAGCACAGAGATATGTCTGTGCTGCGTGTGTTGCTGTACAGTGCTGTGCTCTGCTGCTGTACGCTCACAGCGGCAGCGCGGGGCATAGATACGCTGCTTAGCCTGCGGGAGACGGTGAGTGAGGGGGGGGGATGTCCTATTTGGGGATAATTTGTATAGGGTAAATTAACAAGCCGAGTTGATTACTGCTTTTGAGGTAATTTTTTATCTTTTTCTAGGGTAAACTTCATGCATACAGCGGTCCTCACACTAAGCGAGGTAATAACTGCTTTTGGGGTAATTTTTATCTTTTTCTAGGGTAAACTCCTTGAATACAGTCGATATCAAACTAGGCGAGGTAATAACTGCTTTTGGGGATCTTTTCTATATTTTTCTAGGGTAAAATCCTTGAATACAGCGGTTCCAAACAAGCCAAGGTAACAACTTCTTTTGGAGTAATTTTTTATATTTTTTCTTGGGTAAACTCCTTGAATACAGTGGACCTCAAATTAGGCGAGGTAATAACTGCTTTTGGGGCAATTTTTATATTTTTCTAGGGTAAACTCCTTTAATGCAGCGGTCCTCAAAATAGGAGAAGTAACAACTGCTTTTTGGGGTAATTTTTATATTTTTTAGGGTAAACTCCTTGAATACAGCAGTCCTCAAACTAGGCGAGGTAATAACTGCTTTTGGGGTAATTTTTATATTTTTATAGGGTAAATTCTTTGAATACAGCGGTCCTCAAACAAACCGAGTTGATTACTGCTTTTGAGGTAATTTTTATATTTTTCTAGGGTAAACTCCTTGAATACAGCGGTCCTCAAACTAGGCGAGTTAATTACTTTACTACTTTTGGGGAATTTTTTATATTTTTCTAGGGTAAACTCCATGAATGCAGCGGTCCTCAAACTAGGCGAGTTAATCACTGCTTTTGGGGTAATTTTTCTATTTTTTATGGTCAACTCCTTGAAAACAGCGGACCTCAACCTAGGCGAGGTAACAACTGCTTTTAGGATAATTTTATATTTTCTAGGGTTAACTCCTTGAATACAGCGTACTTCAAACTAGGCGAGGTAATAACTGTTTATGGGGTGATTTTTATATTTTCCTAGGGTAAACTCAATGAATACAGCGGACCTCAAACTAGGGGAGTAATAACTGCTTTTGGGGTAATTTTTATATTTTTCGGAGGTAATTTCCTTGAATACAACTGCCTTCTAAGTGGGAAGGGGTAATTTATAACTTTCAGAGCAATTTAGCTGTTTTCTGCGGTGAATATATCTATGATATTTAATATAGTAATCTGTAAATGCGAATCTATCTATAATCTATATATGCGAATCAAATTTAAATTCTACGCGAAACGAGAAATAGTCGCTTTGTGTTGAATTGCGTGATTAAGGTGAAAAGACGACGCAGCCGTCGCGTTGAGAACATGTCGTATATGATATCATCGCGTATGTGATATCATTGCTGACATTACCGTCGTTAGGAATATCGTCGTAACTTGTCACTCGTCAGGTTTATAATTTTCTTACATATTTTTTATTCATTCATAATTTTTAAGAGCATATTTTAGACATTTTCTACGTGTACAATTCCATGTACAGCGACGTACATTTCCATTTCAAACCTTTTCGGAATATTTTTTTTCCGACAACACTTTTCATTTTGTAAAATTTTTCTGCTGAATTTTTAGGCCATACATTATCATTTATTTATTTATTTATGATATTTTTCAACGACATTCGTTGTTTTCGTCGCCT